CAGCAAGGAGCTCTGCTGCTGCCAGCTGCCACTTAGAAAGCGTAGCGCGTGCGGATGTCCTCCAGCTTCTTGGACACCTCTGGTGGGGTCCGGTCCAGCTCTTCGGCCACATTCTTCTGCTTGTTAGGCTCCATGGAGTTAAACTGCTCACACAAGTCCCCATCGATCACATTCTGGAGGGGTGAAGGAGGAGAGCATTCAATTGACAACACAGAGGCACTGAACCCTACCTAAGCAGGGGAAAAACAGCAACAAACAGCGTGTTCCCAAAAGCTTCTTAATCCCATCCTGGAAACAAGACCATGCTCAGTGACCTCATCCGCTGAATAGCAGTAGTTAGTGTAAAACTAATTACTGGCCGGCCTGATTAACGAAGGAGAAACCCAGAAAGCCTGGGCTCAGCTGAAGAATCACAAGGGAAGGGAAGGCAGACCTGAGACGCCCGCGAGCCCCAGCGAGCCCAGGGTCTAAGGAGAGTGCCAAAGAGGCTGAAGGAGGAGGCAAGTGGAAGGCTATCACCTCCAACCACATGTCAGAGGCTTCTGAGATGCTGCGTGTAGCAAATCAACCTCAAGGCTGTGGAGAACAAGACTGTTTGGACAGTTTCAGTTGCTGGAAGAGTTTTCAGTAATTTAATACATTTAATTATTCTGCTTGCAGCACTTGGCCATCAAGAGTTCCAAACACAAAGTAAGAAACAGGTATTCCTGCCTGCTGCCCATGACATCACTCTTTTCAGCTGTGGTGAAAGTCTAACCCCCGGGAAACACCCACAGAAAACCGTGTGGTGCCTTTTCTGATGGAGCAGGGAGAAGCTCTGGCAAGCAGAGCAGCTCTGAGGCAGCACCTCTGGGCCCAGGGCTCAAAGCCAACCCTCAGAAGCCTCATTACAAGGGTTAAGAAACCAAAACAGATGCTGCACCGAGCACTCCTTTAGGGACAGCAGCTCAAACTCTAGCTCCAGGCATCTCCAGAGTTGCTGTTATCACCTCTGGTTTACAGTACTCAACCTTGCCCAACTTGCTTGTCCATGTGCCCACATCCTACCTTCACAGGAAAGTAGTAGGAGCGGAAACTGAGGTGATCTCGTCCACAGAGAGGAGGGTGCTCGGACCTCAAGTGCATTTCCACATGCTGGAAGAAGTCGTGATCCTGAGGGCACAAGAAGCAGTAGGGGAACAGTTTGCTACACACTTTGTGACCCTGATGCCCAGGTAAGATGCCCACCCACCAGCTCAAGGAGTAAATGTTTTTCTCCATGCTCCTGCAGTGGGTCAGAGCACACAGAGCAACGAACACAGGCTTTGTGCCCCGAGCAGCACCAGTGCATGATCAGCAGGCTACACACCCCTACACAGAAAGCAGGCTGTAAAACACCCTCCCCATAGACACTAAGCTACCCAAGAGCTACTCCTCTGGAATAGAAACAGATTTAGAACCGTAGTGCAACAAGAGCAGCTTTCAAGTCTTAGAAGAAAGGGGCTGACAAGCTCCTTCTCTTCCCCTTGGCACCTGAACCCGTTCCACAGTTGCAAGTCTCCTGCAGCCCCAGTTCTAATGCACTGCTGGGCCCCAGAGATACCCTCGAGAGAGAGGTGGCTGGGAAGGAGCACCAAGAGTGCAACTGCAGTATGATGATGCAGCTTCCTTACCTCGTGGGAAGTAAAAGGGACCATGATTCCTATACCCCCTGACAACGTGGTATAGACAAGAGACTCGGAGCCCCCTGGGATCAGCGTGGTCTTCTGCAAGGAAAGCACCGTCTCTCCAACATGGTAATTCATGATCACTTCAGCCTGTCAGGCAACGCAGAAGAGACAAGCATCAGTGTTGTTCTTTAGCTTATATAAAAGCAAAGCAGCAAAGCCTTGAGAGAAGAGAGCAGAATAAATTCAACCACCTGCTAGTTCTGAGAGTGCTTTTCTAAAGAGGAAGTGCCTGCCACCTGCGACCAGATGGGGAAACTCAGCATGCTGCTGAATTACCCTCTTGAGCCAACACAGAAGCAGGTAATGAGGGAAAGCAGGAAAAGAAAGTGAGCATCCTGCTTCAAGCAGCCACCACTGAGAAGGCATTGACCATGACTTCACAGACCGAATTTGGCTCCTGGTAACAATAAAGACTGATCACCCACAGCACAGCAGGCTGGGAGCAGAGCTGCCAGTGTGTCTGCTGGACACCACTGCAGAGGACAGCGTGGAAAAGCATTCACTCCCCACAGGAACCGCACGCTTCCGATGAAACGCTACCTTCTGTGATGCTCCATTAAGCAGCCCCCTGTCCCAGAGAGCTTTGTTGCCTGTGGGATCCTCATCTACCTCATCATTTGTGTTGGGGGGCAGCCTCACCTGTGTCAAAAGAGAAAGAAAGTTCACAAGCTGCAGAAGCATCACCTAGTTTGGGAGAATCCTTGTAGTTCCTGAACACATGCACGCTGTGGGCTCTAAAAGAACCACCTTTACAGGAGTCACTTATAAACCACTCGCAGGAAGATCATGCACTGCTCCTCCAACAAAACCTTTGGAGTTGAAAGGCAATGATGTGGTCAAGTGCTCCGAAGAGTAAAAACATGGACAGGGCTTGGTGACAAGCACTGGCCTCTGCCTAGCCTGGTTATGCGCAGACCAGGCTGGGCACAAGGTCAAAACACACTGTTTTGAAGGCAGATCCCACTAACAAAACTATCTGATGGACGTGGGTCCGGAAAACTTAAGGTGATGGATTTACACGAGTCAGCCAAATCTTGCAGGTGCAACATCTGATCCTTGCTGCACTCCAAAGCACACGGGCACACTTCAGAAAGAGATCAAAGTTCTGGCACAAGAAATCGCCCATTCTGTCCTGCTCCCTGGCTGAAATTCAGCCAACTGGAGAAGTGTCAGCACAAAACCAGCTTTCAGGAGGAAGTGACAGAGAAAGCTAATTCCAGAGCTGAGATTTAGTTGGGGAAAGTAAGAGTGACAATCTCGACACGAGTTCCCCTGGGCTCTTTCACAACTGCAAGGTCGGTTTTTCCAGGCTCATTCACGGTATGTTTTAAAAACTTTTAAAGTTTCAAAGCCTTAAGCGCAAGTTATTGAATGTTTCAGGAATAAAGTGGTTTCTGACCAGCTGAAGTTCTCCCTCGTTTGCTTTACAAATTCCATCCAGCCACTATGCTGAAAGCTAGTTATCCCATGAAAACAAGTGAATGGTACAGGGCGTTGTCTCCAACTACGCAGATTCTCATTCTTTTAAGACAAATCATGGATGTTCTAGGGAAAAATGTGCTGTGTCCGAAAGGCCCCGTCAACTCAGAGGCACACTCACCACACAGATGTTCCCAAACTTGTCCGCTCCAGCCACTGTGTCGTAATCCAGGAGAGTTGCTGTAGTGACCCACCGGGGATAGGTGTCATCAGCAAAGATGATGAGTTGGTTCTCGTTCCTTTTGTAGCGCACCCAGATGAAACTCTCTTGAACATCTGAGACGATCACTCTGTGCCCAATGGTCTGGATGCCACAGATATAGTTGGCAATGTGCTTTTGAGAGAGAAAAACAAGACCCAAGTGCTTCAAACAGGGAGGCACAGACCACTGGTGTTCCATTACCCATGAATTCCACTCTGCTCAAACGAATTTTTACCACATTTCCCTCCGAAATATGGCTCACTGCTCAGTCCCCATCACTTTCTCCAACATCACTTTGCTCCTTTAGGGCATGTGATGGCTTCAACCCAAATTTATCCATCAATTCAGAGCTCTTGCAACCTAAGGGCATCATTCTGGCTTTATACAAATGATCCTCAGAGAGCAAACACTACTGGTGAGCACTGCACAGAGATGCTAAAAACTGTTCTGCAAGCAGGGCAGGGCAGAGGTCAGAAGCCCTGCTCGTGTCCCTTCACTGCTCTGCTCATGAAGGACCCGAGAAGGAAAGGTTCAGGTTTTCCTGAGTGTCCTCAGTCATGTTTTAGTGGGAGGAGATTCCCTGCAAGTTCCTGGGCTGCTTGGAGAGCCCTTCTGCAGCACCCACCCAGCAACCTCCAGAGGTTTCTTTAATGTGCAGGAGGGAAGGAGGAGCAGACGAACAGCATCAGAAAACCAAGCATGGGCACACCTGGGCCTGGCAGAGCAGCTGAAGCCTTGCTCCTCTCATGCTACAAGGCATCCCATACTCCGAGCAATAGCCTTAGCCAAGAACATGAGCCATTACCTTGTTCTCACACTTCCGAAGCAGTTTCTTCTTGCCCAGGTCATACACACGCAAGAGCTTTCCAACTCCAATCAAGACTCTACCCTGGAAGGGGGCAATGGCTGCAGGAACCTCCTCCACAGGCGTCTAAAAACAGATGCAAGAGGAAGATGTGTGAGATCCCCGTTAACAGAACTAACCTCACATCAAGGCGCAGAGTGGATCCATTCGGTGACTCATTAGAAAGCTCCCTATCCTGTGCCAAGGCTTCCAGTGCAAAAGGCTAATCAAATGTTCCTATAGGAGAGGCAACAGCTGATCCTCCATAGGCCTTTCAACACGGTGCTATACAGGCAACAAATCTGCATGTCTTCAACTGTGCCTTCAGCTGGACTGCTGCAAGAAGCCCACACTGAATAGGCAGCAAAGGGAGGGAAATCTTGTTACTTCAGTTGCTAGTTTTGCTTTATTGCCAACAGAAAGACTTTATCCTTTGCTTAAGCCCTTCCAGATTCCTTTTTTATTAAAAAAAAAAAAAAAAAAAAAAAAAACAGAGGCATGAGCCTAGCTCTGCATCTACCATGGATGCTCTGGAGCTGCTACAGAAGGAAGCACTCAATCTGAACGTTAGTGTGCCCACAGTTACAGTCACTCCAGGCTGCAAACTCCCTATCACTAATCCAAAAGGATCAGCCAACATGCAGAAAGTGAATTTGTTGGGGGTTCCAGTTAGAGTGTTGTTACTTTCGCTTGTTTTCGCTGAGACCAGTTATTTCAAATGATCAACCCCGTCAACCCCAAGGCGGTGATAACGGCATCAGAAAAGGCCCCGCTCCAGGACAGAACCCACTTGTTGCATCAGGACCGTAGGAAGTGAAGGAAGTCACAACATTCCTTTCCCTGTGCTCATCTGCTCAAATCTCAGCCATGCTTGAAGCACGTGGGAAGAAAAACAGAATTTCATTTTATCACAGTTTTCCTGAAACCGTTACTAAAGCCCCAGGCGCCTGTCAAGCGAGATGGTCACTAGGAGAATAATCCTTTCTACCCACCACCAAAACAGCATCACAGGAAAGATGACAGCTCACACTAGCTTAAGGTGTTGAGCCAAGGACTGGGCGCACAGTTTGCTTTATAAACAAACGTTCACAGCAGCTTTCTGAGCTCATCTTCCAAAATGGCAACAGAGCTGTGCCTCTCCCCTCCCCGCGACATGAAAAACACTGCTTCTGCCCCCTCTGCCAATTAGACGGGTGAGACTGGAGCTGAGGCAGAGGAGTAGGACTCCTGGGAGATCCGTGTTCAAATCTCAGCTTTGCAAAGGATGTTGCAAATGAGTTTGGAGGAGGTAGCTTGTCTCCTTTGAGATTGCTTCCTGCGTGCGTCGCGCCAGCACCATCATCTCAGTGATCTCAGCGAGAGAGCTGCAAGGCCACTCTATCACTGAGGGTGAGGAAACAGCCTGGAGACATCCCAGACAGCCCAGACACCAACAGAACTGCCTCTCCCTCTCACCTTGTGCAGAAACTCCAGCTTCTCGCCGCCGTTCACCAGCTTGTACGTGTAGACAAATCCGCCAGCGACCGAGCGCGGGTTCAGAATCAAGTCCTTGGCGACTCCCACCAGCACGTACCAGTCCTCACCGGTGTTGGAGAAGCGGCACACGGCCACGCTGGGGACAGGACAGAGAGATGAGCACGCAGCAACCAGGGCCACACACCCACTGCGTTATTCTGACGGAACAGCTCTCACTAGGCAGAGCTTCGGCTCAACCTTCAAGCACTGAAATTTTCAGCAGACATTTCTGCCCCCCTGCAGAAGGGGCTAAAGCAGAATCTTGATTCTTCCCTTCTGCCCATAAAAAAAAAAAAAAGCTGTTTTCCAAAGGCTGCTCCAATTTGGGCATGTACATAAAGCCTTCCTCATCCTTCAGTGTGATTTCCTGCCCAGTGCTTAGCTCAGGCAGGCTGGAAGTCCCGGACAAAGCAGGCCAGAGTCAACCTTTTGGAGCAGCATGACCTAACTTCACCTGCTGAAGCATTTCCCCCTGCTCCTCACTTCTGTTCTTTACAGTAATTGTGTTGGCCTTTCCCACATAGTCCCTGCAACATTTCCTTTCCATTTAGTCCAGCCTCGGATGATCTGGAGCAGAGCAGTAAGTGAAGGATAGCAGCAAGGTTTTATGTTTCCAGTTCTCTTATCTATTTTTCACATCCCTGTTTTTCTTTCTGTGATGAGGTCCAGAAAACACATCTGGGGAACTACAGAAGCTCTTAGTGCTACATGCAGACAGATCATGGTAGGAAGGCAAGGCAAGGCAAAAACTTTAAGCCCATGGAAATCGCTCTGGGCATTTAAACCCTGTCTTTTGGTAACCTGCTACATTTGGCCTTTGAGTCATGAACAGTTGAGTAAAACAAGGAAAAATCCTCAAGTCTTATCACAGGCAGAGGTCCTTGCTGCAATCTGCCATGGCTTCTTACCTGAAAGCAGCTTCATTCTGCTCCAGTTGGACCAGATCTAACGTATTTCCCTGGATGGGGTTCATCACCCTGATAACAGAGGCCCACTGTCCATTTCCTGCCTTGGGAGCCCCGAAGATGGACTCAGGAAGATTCTCGTTCAGAAAGGCTGCGGCCATCTCTGCAGCCAGTTCCCTCTCATCTTCTCCCGCAGCCTCCACCATTTCCTAAGGCACATTAAAGGGTGAGGGGAAAAAAGAACAGATCAGAGAATTTCTTTTCCAGACAGGCTGGGGCAAGGTACTGCCTGTGAGCATAGGAAAGCCACTGAATCCTAAGGCTGCCCCGAGCTTATTCCCAAGGAAGCCTCCAAAGCTCACAAGCACAGCACTATCTGCTCTTCCCTGCCCGCAAGGAAGTCACCTGGGGAATTCTTTCTCTGCAGTGACAGCTCTGGGAACAACATAGGGAAAAATGAAGAAAATAATCCCCTGAAGCTCCAACATCCTCCGTCACAGAAAACCCAGAGAAGAGCGTGACGTCGGTGACTCAGCCCCAAAGAGTGGTTCTTAAAAGTCTGCCATAACAACATACAAAGAAAGGAGCACTGGGCTGTAACGTATTCTGCTGAAATTTGGGTTTTGAAGCTTATTTTCAGAAATGGGAGGCCAGATAACGCAATGCTATAGCCTGCTATTAACGCCTACCATTGAAGAGCAGGCAGAGCTTGTATGTACCCGTCCCCGCCACTACCTCAGCCATTTGCTGCTTCCTCTGGGCTTTGGTGGCCTCAGTGTAAGCGTTGTGGTCGGTCTCGATGATGATCAGGTTGTTGCTCTCAGGATGGATGACAAATTTTCGGGGCGTGTATTGCAAGGGGAAGGCAACCTGGTTGAAGACTGCCCCCAGCTTCTCCAGTGCCAAAATCCTGGGGGTAAAGATGTGAGGTGTTCAACACACGGCAAAAGGAACAAAAAGAACAAGGCTGGAGTCGAGCTTTAGGTCTGCAAAACTGGTCAGTGCTGGAGACGAGCCCAAATCCTTCCTCAGAGCAGACAGTTGCTAGCAAATGGTTCCAGTTAGTGGGCTGGGTGTCCCCTGTAGTCCTGCGTCTAACTCGGGCACTTTGTCTCTGGGGTGGCTTCAAGTGCCTGTTGTCCCTTTTGGGCACAACGCTGTGATGCTGAAGCAAGTGCACCCCGAGAGGAACAAAGAGCACACTGAAGGCGGAAAGGGCACCTTTGGGGACACGTCATCTCAACCTAAACGTGACAAGACGTTGCCTGGCAAGCGATCAAATCCTCCTCTGAGGAGCTTTAGTTACAAGGGTATGAAAAACGCTAGCGCCTGAACAGCCAAGTTCCCGCAACTTGCCAGCTGAAGCGCCAGCTCTTCTGGCATTTGGGGACCAAAAACCGCAAGTCTCTCGAGAAAGAAAGACTCCTTCAGAAGCAATGAATGCTACAATATTCTAATGAGGACAGATATGAAAAAGTGCCTGTTCGAGTACATAAAGCAGAGCTCCTGAATTTGTGTTCCCCTATTATTTTCATTTATCTTTTTATTAAGTATCTAAGCTGAACTGTAAAATGCAACAAATACACCACTGTCATGGTGTATTTCTTAAATCACATGCCCTAGTTCCTGCAAAACAGCCATTTGGGATCATGAACCACAAGGTCCTAATACATGACAGGTTCTCAGATATTAACAACTTTCCTCCCCCCAAAATTTCAGAATTTAAGGACGGCTTGAATTACATTTGTTCCTTAAAACAAGATGGAAAATACAAATCAGTGCAGCACAGTGTGTCCTACTTCTTTTTGACAGTAGGACAATCTTGTCTTCCATTTGTTTTCTGAAACCTGTTCCAGGGCCTCTACTATTGAATTTTCTTTACACATAACCAACTTACCTTGGACATCCTTTATGCTAAAGGCAAGATGCTTGACCTTTTCCTTTTGAACCTCTAGTCACAACTCGCCAGCTCCCCCCCTGCCCGGCAGCCCAGTCCAGGAGCATCAGGTGTTGCCCATCGGTTCTTACCTCAGCGTGTTTGTGGAGATGGCTACAATGCCCTCTGGGCACTGCTCCGAAGCAAATCCAGACGCAAACTCCAGGGTTTCGTACGACAGGGGGGTCAGGTGGAAACGAGATTGATAGGAATAACTGAGCCAGGAGCGGCTCGACATGGCCAGCACCTAGGAAGGACAGGCAGACAGGGCAAACTGAACGGCTGGGGACGGGGCAAGGCCATGCCTTACGATACAGGTGATGGTCAGTGCACGACTGGCCTCTCACGCCAGGAGCAGGGAAGTCTCGTGCGTGGGAACCCACCCTGCTCAGAGCTCACCTTGGGAAATGCTGCTTGCTTCCCAGAAACACTTTATCTGCAAATCATGCACTGCACAAAGAGGAACTATAATGCACTACAGAGACAGTGGGCACTGAGGAGCTGTAAAAAATGTTTATCTGAAAAAGCCAAGATCAACAAATACTTCCATAGGGTGTTTGGTTTTTTGTTGTTGTTGCTGCTGTTTTTTTGACTTTCTACAATAATAACCCATTCAAATGGGAACACATCTTTTAAAATAAATATTTACAGCTCTGCCACAATCCCAATGTCTTAGCACTGGGCTTTGGGGGTCTCAAAGCAAAACTTTTTAATAAGAGAAGTCTGTGGCCTGCTTTCAATCACAGAAAACAAGAAATAGATGGACTTCTAAGCCCTTCAAGCTTTAAATATTTGGTTAAATCAGCTTCAACACAGCCTCACACTCTGCCCAAGAGAGAAAAGCTGAAACCGCACTGAAATATTCACAGGCTTTTCTGAGTCCATAGCTCACTGGCCATAAACAGTGTACTTATCTTTTTCCTCTCTCCATTTTGTAAGACCAGGAAGTGAAAGTGGTCTCAAAGATGAAAAGCACTCAGTTGTTTTCTATTAGAGACGCAGAGCATCTCCCTTCCAGGCTACAGCAGCCCAAGCCGATTCACATCATGTACTGTAACCTCAAAGCACAGCTCAGACTGCCAGATCCAGGCCCCTACACTGGCCGGCAAGATTTCTCAACCTTCAAAGTGTCATCCAAAAATGAGTCAATCAGGAGGTGGCTGATCTCCCCAGTGACACATCAGGAAGGCTGCGAATGGCACCGCTGTTGAAATATGTTCTCCCCTCCATGCCAAATCCTGCAAATATTTTCCTTGAACCATGCATGTCAGCTGAGCAACCACTCTCAACACAGAGGAGACGACCATGAACCGCACCATCCTCAAGCGGTAGAGGACTAGGGAACGTCTGCTCGGGTGGCTCCTTCGGCCTCTGTGCACCGGGGCGTGCGAGACAAGCTGTTTTAGCATCTCTCAGCTAAAGAATCTGCTCAGGAGTTTCACAGACAGGTCACATGGGTCCTGGTTCAGAGAAGGCAGAGCAGCAAAACACGTCGCTTCCGAAGAAGTGAGGGGAATACCAGCACGAGCAAGGCTGTTTATGAAAGCGCACACTGCGAGCCAGGCAGCTCCACGATGAAGTCATTCCACTTCCCACCCTTACCCAGAAGGCCCTGCTGGGCTCTAAGGCCATGTCCCCTCCCTGCCCACGGCGCAGGAAGCCTGGGACACTGCCTGGGGAGCAGACCCACGCCCAGAGGGATCTCGCTTCACTCACCGCCTCCTGGCCTTGCATTCGGACTCGGAAGAGTTTCACAGGCCGCGAGCCAAGGTATCTGGTCCTGGTATCGGAAAGATCCCCGGTAACAGGATCCAGGACAGTTCGCAGCAGCACCCCGTTCTGAGCACCAGGAAACCAGGAGGTTAGGTCAGAGTTACAAAAGAAGCAAGCCTAACTACAGTCATTACATTATCAACAACAGAAGAGGTAATTTATCAAGTACTAGACTTTTGTTTTCCTGGCTTTTGATACAACTTGTTTCTGCCAAGCGCTATCTAAATTGGTGTTTAATAATAAAAAATTTAATAACTCACACTGGGCCTGAAAAACCTGGGGACTGACTCCAGACACTAATCCTTCCCAGTGCAAAGTATTTACCCAAAAACTCAGTGCTGCTTAAGAAGAATTTGCATTCTGACAGCACACTCGAGGCACGTGAAAGAACCAGGACTGCTCTGATTATTTTCCCCACATGTTGGATTGTCAAAATATGTTTTGGTCGAAGATCACAGGGTTAGCACTGGCTACAATAAAAGCCGCGCAACAGCAGAGTTGTTAGAGCAGAGCATGTGGTTGCGGGCACCCACGTCTTTGATACTCTGCCCTACAGGCAGTTTCTGAAAAACTCGCCCAAAGCGTTTTACCCAGAAATTTTTCAGACTTGGCCTCTTTCTGGAAGAGAAAAAGCAACTTTCTTCCTACATGAAGTCTGGAAGAATATGCTGTGCTGTGACTAGTCTCTCTCAGTCTTTCCTCATAGGGCAGATGTTCCAGGCCCCGATCATCCTTGTAGAGAGTCCAGCATAGGATGATCAGGGGCCTGGAACATTTGCCCTGTGAGGAGAGACTGAGGGAGCTGGGCCTGTTCAGCCTGGAGAAGAGAAGGCTGAGAGGGGGCTTGAACAATGTCTATAAGTACCTCAAGGGAGGCAGTGAGGAGGATGGTGCTGGCCTCTTTTCACTGGTGGCCACCAACAGAACTAGAGGAAACAGCCAGAAACTAAAGCACCAAAAGTTCCACAGGAACTTAAGGAAAAAATTCTTGACAGTGAGGGTGCCCGAGCACTGGAACAGGCTGCCCAGAGAGGTTGCGGAGTCTCCTTCTCTGGAGATCTTCAAAACCCGCTTGGACACAGTCCTGTGCCACGTGCTCTAGGTGACCCTGCGTGTGCAGGGGGGTTGGACTAGGTGATCTCTAGGGGTCCCGTCCAGCCTTAAGCATTCTGTGATTCTATGATTCTCAAGGCTAGAGATGTAGGAGGAAGCTTGCACCTCTGCTAGGTCACAGAGTGAATTCCCCATTTACTGTCATTCAGCATGTTGTAACCCAGGGGAACAGTGAGGCTTTATGTTGTTTCTCTGCCTGATGACAAGGCTGTTTAGCAACACACCGCCCCGAGACGGGCCTGCGAGGAGCAGCTCTCACCTGCAGCCCAATGTTCAGGTAGAGGAAGCCGATGGAGCCCCTCTCCCCCAGCTCATCCTGCTTCTCGGTGCCACCCATCTCCACGATGCAGAGCGACTCGGGCTGCGCGGGCAGGGCCTGCATGCTCAGCGGCTGCAGGCAGTCCTGTGCGCGGCAGGAAAGAGACACCACAGCGGTCAGCCAGACTGGCCGCAGCTGCAGGGGACCCCAGCTGCCCACAGGAAGCCAAAAAGTTCCTTTTTAGGTCCACAGAAACAGCCAGCACTTCCAAAGTGTGCTGACAAAAACCTACAGTTACTTAGCATAGAGAAACTTGAGCAAAGCTCATGTTATTTTAGTTTTGCTTTAAACACTCATTTGCTGCAGGTACAGGAAAGATGTGACAAGACTGCTGCTAACTTGCCTGCACACATACGCAGAAACCATGAGATAGAAAGCAAGGAGATGCTTTTGCTCCTAATTGACTGAGCCTCCGGGCATGAGTGAGATTAGATAAAAACAAAGGAATCTGTTATAGGATAGACTCAAGGGCCACATTTCTACCCAGTTCAGCAGAGGAAAAAAATCCAAATGCAGGCTGTTCATTCCTGACCATGCAGATGAACAGGGACAGAGTCCTCTGAAGAACCAAACTGAAGATTTCAGGCCAATGGAAGAGGCAGAGAGGCAAAACCAAAACACCTACTCACCGAAGGGTCAAGAGAAATTATTCTGACAGTGTTGTCCACCAACCCGACAGCAAGGAACCGGGAGCGCTGCTCTCCAGGTGGAACATTGGCCAAGCTCATGCAAACCACATCAGCCGACATCTCCTTTCTCTCCGTGTACTCATTCAGCTGTCCTGACTGAGCAAAAACAAATCAAAAAACACTGGAAACTTATTACCTTGCCAATGAAGAAAACAAGCTTTAAAACATCCTCCCTCCTCTCCGCTTCTCAAGATATTTTATCTCTTGTTAAATTAGCCATTAACTTGTCTAACTCAGAGCGTCGCAACGGGGACAGGCAGGACATACAGAGTCCCTTCCTGCAGGTCTGCTCAAGGATCAGGCTCTGCCTTGCTGCTCGGGAACCGTTCACGCCGCTAGCGCACGTACCGGGTCCATCTCAAAGTAAACCAGCTCTCCTCCAGTCAGCGCTATCACGACTTGTCTCTGGTTCACGGCACACTTTACAATGGTTTTCTTCCCCGGGGTTTTCCATTCATTCACCCTCTTATCTGCTCGGATGTGCCGGATGCCATCTGGATAAACCTAGAGGAGAAAAAGGTCATGCGTTAATTCCTGTATTTACCAGTCCATTAAAACTCCCTGAATCCTCTACTCCTCCTGTGAATCTGACACAGGAGGACCAAAGGAAATGTCACTGGGTCACAAAGCAGAGCTGACCTATGAGTTATAACACAGGCTAAATGAGGACAAAACCACTTGCCACCTGGAAGTATCACGACTTTGAACTGCTGAGCTCTCACTGAAGCATAGGGACACCTTCAGGTGGTGCAGCTTCATCAGCAACACATAAAAGGAGTGAGCCTGAGGAAGTGGCATTTGTCACCAATCCACAGCTGTTGGCGTGACAGCAGCAAGGAGGTGTCAGACACATCCAAAAAGCTGTTCATTACCTGCACCAAAGCATCATCGCCAAGAAGGGAGCAGGACAAGGTGGGCGTAGTACCCAGGAAGCCAGAGTCTGTCACTTCTTCTACAGTCTCTCCGATGGACAGCACCAGCGTGGCATTTACGAAGGACACAATGATATAGGCATCAAATTCATCTGGTCAAAGGAAACATGGAAAAAAGGCTGCAGATTAAATAACTGTCAAGTCTCCCAACCAAATCAGGAGTCTCACAGATGTTTAGCAGTTACTCTTCCGCACAGTTCCAGTGATAATTACATCTGCCAGCAATATTATGCAAGTTCATTCTAGGACACACTGCACAAAAGCCAAACACTGCTAGACTCCAAACAGTGCAATACTGAGCCAGGAGATCAAACCATTGTCCAGATACAGCATCAACTCACGATATTCTGGGTTCTGGCAACAGCATTCCTGTTTTTCACTGATAGCAAGAGGCCCAGAAACATTTAAGACATTGGCGCTACCTCACACAAGGAACTGCATCCAGATTTAACACCCAAAGTGCTCAAATGCAACTCCAGTACCTTGAAACCCACAGATCTTACCTGCAGAAACCACCCGTGGGTCCCTGCACAGGAGTTTGCAGGGCTGCCCCTCTGGTACCCAGGCATTAAAAGGCTGCAGAGCGAGGTGCACGAGGAGCAGCAGCTCAGGACCAGCCTGCTCTGCCCTCATTCACAAGCCAGACTACCTTACACACACAAAGCCACTCTTACAGACCCCCTGGAGAGAGAAACCATGCATTTTTGAGACAGAGCAAACATTAACCTTTACTTCGACTGCAGTAAGTGACAGTATCTCACTGTCAGTGCCAGCTTCTCCCAAAGGGGACAGCCATGGGCACAGCAGCTTGGAGGTGGAGGAGCTCTGCTAACCATAACCAGTGGAAGAACTCACATGGAAGTATGGAAAGAAGGGAAGCAGGACTGGAGAAAGGGAATGCCCCTGTCTACTGCGGTCCATCTCCACTTGCAGAAAGCAACAGGCATTAAAGAGGAAGAGAAGGGAGGAGAGAGCCTCATTAAGATAGAATAATAATAAAAGGTAACAGAAACAAGGAAGCCTGTTGGGAAATGGAGCCAGGAGCCTCAGCGGAGCAGTAACAGTGCCTCAGTCAAGCAACATGACACTGCTTGATGCTGTTATGCAAGCCTTGTTTCCTGAAAAGGAGAAATTCCCCAGCTTAACTGCTTCGACCCAGAGCTCAGGCTTCTGCAGCACAGTACCAGACAACTGCAGAGAGAGCTTAACAGAGCCATCACGTTACTGACCCTCCAGCAGAGCATTCCCACAATTGGCACGTGTGGGATATAAGGAAAATGAGTTACAAGCCTCTAAGTCCAGCTAAAAACCCAGAGAACTCTCCTTGGGATGAAGAGAGGATGCCAGCAAATACCACAAAACAGCTTTCAAGAAGCTGAATGGGGTTAACTGAAACAAATACCGCCAAGAGCTGATCCTTCCCTTACCCACCCTATTTGGCGAGAGGTTCTGCCAGACCTGCTGTGTCATACTTAGAATAGAAAGTTCTTACACAGAGCTGAAAATATGCAAGTTTAGGGAAAAAAAACTAAAAAAAAAAACAACCTCTCTCCAACATCTGGAACACAGGCCACAGTTCTGATCAGCTTAATGTAATTAAAGTCATTCTAATACTGGCCTGTGGCATGAACTCCATTACCAGTTTATTAAGTGACTATAAGCTAAACCTATGACATGGTTCATATGTAGGCAAGCTGCTGCACCCACCAACACCCCTCACTTGGGGATCAGAAAGCAAAATCGCAACCTGCACACGCAAACTGATTAGTAAGGCCAACTATTTTAATACTTGGCTTAGCAGGATAATTTCTCTAATGTAACAGCAGATGGTAGGAGACCAGCAGAGCATCCACCATTACACACTGCTTGTTTTCTGCACTCAATTAAGAGCTCCCCCTGAAAGCTGCATGCTATTTTCAGCAGAAGGCTATGAGAATTCTTCAACTGCTTTGAAAATGAATTCTGGTAGTTCACTGCCTGAGCCCTTAATTCATAAATATCCTGTAGACAGGATGTGCTAAAAATTCCTTTTCAGAGAAGATAGCTGCTTTCCAAACTTCTTGAGAGCTGCTGCCTGTCTCCCTGGGGGCTGTCATTCCCATGATAAACCAGCACCTCCCAGCTGGAGGCCCAGCCATGTGATTTGGAGCAGGACAAAGAACTCCCATTTGAAAGCGAAACAGATGCCCTTAGTTCTTCTTTGAACCAAACTCATTCCTACCTCTTAATACTTCTAGCTCTTGCTTTTCACCAACTTAGTTGCATTAGAGTGTGCTTTTAATTCTGCATCAACAATACTGACAAGTGCATTTCCGCTTGAAGTCTAGTAGCGCTGTCCAATGCCTCTCTGCTGGAGCCTTTCAAATAAAGGGTTTGATTTAGCAGAATGAAATGAGTGAATAAGATGCATTCATCTAGATTCCAACAATACAATTTTGCCTTAGAAAATATAGCAGCCAAGCTGTAAATTAAGGAGACTAAATCCCTGGGGCACACCGAGAAGGATTCTCAGTTAGCAAAAGGAAAGAGCTATCTATTTTAATATCAAAAGCTATCTACTTAGCCCTGCACAAGCCTAACCATAACAGCGTGCTGCCCACACTTCGGAGCAGACAGACACTATTTTGTATGCAGACACAAAACTTCAGTGCTGCTTATGACAGTTATAATTGCTCCACTTAGCTCCTTCCAGCACAGGGAGCTGGTAAGAGAGACATTTTAATGACTCCAAAGAATCAGAGCTGGACTCACTTTCTTACATCTTAATGACAAGCTTTCTGCAGCTTCATAGACCACCATGATCAGTCATAAAAATGTCACATTGCAGTCCACGAACTATACACTACTGTCCTTTTTGTTATTTGTCACAAACTCGGTTTGAGTTCACCCATTACAGCTCCATTCTTTTAAGGCAGTCCTGCCTGATCTAGTTTTCACACACCCCACAGCATTTGAGTTTGCACTGATACAAACACAGTCACCCCTAGCTCAGATGGATTCAGTGAACCAACAGATGAACAATGACAAAATTTAGGTTTATAGTGTTTTTTTTTTTAAAAATCCTATGGGATGACAGTATATTTTCCTGAGCTTCTGTTCACTATATCATGCAGAATTCTGTGGCTATGACTCACTGCACATTGCTTTTCATGCAGGAGTGCCAGGTAGTGACTAGAGACTGCTAAGCCTCAGCTCACACACATCCACAGCAGGGCACACACAGCCACCAAACTCCCCACACCTCCATTTCCAACTGTAGAAGTGCTTGGTCTGTCTCCCAAGCACTTCTTTGTGCGATGGACATGCTCGTCACACACCCACAGGGCAACCCCACGACAGCAATCCCTACGGATGCTCGCAGTACACTCGATCCTCGTCTCTTGGAAGGCTGTACGAAACAGGCAGGAGTCAAGCCTAACTCTAGAAGGGAGCTGAAAACACCCTTGAAATGTGCCCTCCATTTTTTAGAGAGAAATGATCCTCCAAAAATCCCTCAGCATTTTAAAGAAAACAAAAAAAAGGGGGGAGGGGAAGTATTTTCTGAAGGGACACGCTCAACTAATTTGTTTCCCCAAAGCTCCTGGAGCGGGAGTTACTCTCAACTCCTCAGCTCCTGAAGTGCAACACAACCACCTCCAACTACACAACAGCTTCTGGCGTTTGTTTAGTGGAAAGCTCAGCCTAAAAGGAGCACCGTGAGCTTGGGATTCTCTGCAGGTAACCTGGCGGACAGCACAGTAGCCCCTAGCAGTAGGTACACACCTGTGGTGATCAGCACCTCCACCACCAGCCACCTGCGGAAGAAAAAAAGAGGCTTGGTATTGGTAGTGTGTATCACCACGTACCAGCCAGGGTTAGTATCTGCTTTGAGGGCTGCAAACTTGCACGTGTCTTACAGAGGCCTCACAGCACGTGGCATCCGGGCAGAGCCAGGCGACCTGATGCTGCCAGCTGAACGCTCGAGAAAGGGCACTCGGGTGGTTTCAAGATACATGTTTGAAAGGGCTCTGCAGTCTTTCTGGATAAAACCCGTCAAAACTGTTTCAGAAGTCAGACTCAGGGATCACTTAAGATGATTTTAAACTGCGTTTGAGAAGTGGTGTGGCTGTCAGCTATAGACTCTAGCCTTTCCAAGCAGAAAACAGAAGATCTTCAGGCTGGAAGCTGGGTAATTTTGTATCAGGGAGGAAAGAAAAAAAGAAAAACCAGTGAGACGGGTCTTTTTATGTAGATTAGCAGTAGTCCTCCATCTCCTGAAAAGAGAAAGTGATCCTCTGAAGGCCCATTAGAAAAAGTTTGAAGCTATAAACAAAGGCAATGCCAGAAACCTCAATCTCTCAGAGGAAATGAATGTTACCAACTCATTTTCCAGAAGACTGGAGCATGGGTTTGTTCAGGCTGTACACAAATTTCACAACATGAGTACAGGACTTGAAGGCAGATCTCAGATGACAAGGTAAATTCCACAGCAGTGTTGGAAATCCCACAGGGCTCCTGGCTCCCTGGAGGACATGCTACTGTAAGACTGCTTAAACAAGATGCTGTGTCACCACAGCAGGCTGAGGTCTCCATTGCAACAATCTGACACTTCTACAGCCAGTCCTTGAAACTACAGCACTATTTTTACGAAGTGCTGCCTCAGAAACAATCACAGAGACAGTAATCAGTAACCAGAAAAGCTTCATTTCAGGCTTTATAGTGATATCTGAGGAACTCTTGCATCTATGAGAAAGGCAGGACTGAGGATTACACTTCCTCTTGGGCTTTAGCAAGAGAAATCTATTGTTTCAGACCAGGAAGGGAAAAAAAAAAATAAGCACATTCTGCCAATTTCAAATCTTGACCTTCCTGGATTTAGCAGCATCTTATACACTGCTGAGTTTTTGAATAGGAAGTGTCTCCTCTCCTAGCCTAAGCAGAATGTTTTCCTTGCAGCTATGCATGGAGGGAAGTAATAAAGCACTGATCTATTGCTGATTTGCTCTTCTTTGTTCCCCAGTTTGAACCCACTCTCTCACGACGAGTTGATTGCTGCAGTTGTCAGCAGGCATACACGGAACAGCACATCCACTCCAACAACAGCACGACCAGTGTCTACTGACACCAGAGCAAGAACCTATGGCAACTGGGAAGGGTAAGAAGATGGGCAGCTTCAGGCTGGAAACACACATCTCATGGGGCACACTGGGGGACAGACGCAGCTGCAGGCAGGTGCTTCTTGGTCAAAGCGTCCGGTGACAATTTTAGGGGAACAGAAGGTAGTTTCTAAGTCCAAACTAGAGGTTACCGATTCAGATCAGAACTTGGAGGGACAGCACATGCACACATCATGCTCTCCTATCTCCTTGAACAAAAGGAAAATTGTCACCTCTCTGCTTTGGGAAACACTGCATACCTTCAACATGTCTCCTCACAGTCCACACAGCATTGGGGTTACCGGGCAGCTCTGAGACGGCCATTTCAGATACCTAAGATGAAACAAAACCAGGTTCTTTGAAACAAGGCTGTTAAGATGAAAATTTGTTACAGTAAGTCACTGAACAATCACCATTAGTACCCTACAAAACTGGCCAGGAAAGCAAACAAATCCCTAGTTCTGATACTCTCTCCCCATGCCAGATGGGCTGTGGGGTGGAGTACACTCATCACGGAGGTTATAATGCCTCATATTAAAGCTCTGGATTATCAGCTTTAAAATAAGCTTAACCACTGCCAGCATAGATCAGCAGCCGCAGCTGGAACAGACACCTGGAATGTTCCAACTCAACACACTCAAACAGCAGAAGGGACCAAACGCATGTGGTTAAAGTCAACTGAACAAAAAGCCTTCGAGATTCAGAGCAAGCAACAAAACTCTTCTATTTCCAGGAAGAAATAAACGTCTGCAGAAAGATACTCTTTCCAGACTACAGTAAAGAACCACCCCTTCACTTCAACACTTTTATTCCAAGGATTTTCTTGCAGTGTCCCTGCCTCCAAAGCTGTTTTTGCCAAGTGCTCGAAGTCTTACCTCAAGTCCATGTCTCAGAACCCTCAGAGATGACCGGGGCCCCCGACCACAGGCCACGTACAACTGGGGTGTGTCTTCATTGGCCAGATCCGCTATCTGTGTGGAGAAACAGCATCAACCACCACCCGCCAGAAAAGAAAATAAACCCAAGCCTGATATGTTGTTATTGTGTTCAGAATTCAACCATTCTTCACTCAAAGCAGTGAAGCCACAGCGTGTGCCATCTGCTGCACTGAAATAATGTCAATTTTTAACCAAATTTTCTGCAGAATAGACAGAGACCTAGTCTAACAGTCAAGGAAGCGACCAGCACAGAATTGCTGGCTGGCACCCTATTTCCGGATACACATTTATTGTCACAGAACACTCCACAGAAAAGTGGAAATAAAAATCATCTACTTATCATTAATTCCCCTGTTAAGTGAGAAAGATTTCTTGCCTGGATGAATGGGACAACATACCTGACAGCACAGAATAGGAGACAAACTGTCCAGTTCATCCACCAGCACCAGGTTCTTGAGAGGTCGTGGCTGAAAAAAGAACGTATCTCCTTCCTCAAGGGGCATGGCAGAGGAGAACTCTGGTTCCTCGTCGTCGTCACCCAGATGAGCTATCTGGTACAGGTAACTTCAGAGAAAAAGCAAGAGCAACAGGATGTTCAGTGCAAAGCTCATGAAGGCTTAGCCAAATATTTGGAGGAACTGCGGGAGATGGAGGATCCTTCTCTCTTTTGTACAGTTATTAAAATTTAGCCCTGAGGATTGTTTTCTTAGCGACAGAAATAATGTAAAAAATAACCAGATAAGATGCCTGCAAGAAAATCAGAGTTTTCTCATGGTAGCCGGGACTTCCAGGGTTTGCTCTGTTTACCCTTGAGCCTTTGGGATCTTCTTGTATCAGAGCCAAAGCACTAATTGACGGGTGAAGCAAAGAGCAGACTCTGTGGCTAAGGCTCCAAATCCACAGTTGTGTTTTATGGGAATGCTCTCACCTCATTATTTTTAAACACCTTCCTAAGCCTAAATATTACAATCACCAAGTTAAACATCAAAGAAAAGGAAAAAAAAAAACCCAAAATTGATTTACTTCCTGTTTATAATAAAACTCAAGCAACTACGATTTCTTCAAAAATTTAATTTATGCAACTGAATTTAGATTCAGTCCAGCAAACTGTCTGGAGCTCCCCCAGGTGGTTGACTCTGCAGAGGTACTGCTCTCCGTTGAAGAGAGTCCCACATTTGCCCTGTTAAATCACACTGAGAGGTGTACAAAGCCACTTTCAGGCCACAGTGTTTTGAATGACTATGTAATGCACATGAAAGTTCAAGCAAAGGCTGTTCAAACTCATTTAAACATAATGCATCAATCAACGTGGCTTGGAAACTCCAAGAAATGCAAGTGTTCAAACTTTCCAGAACCTATTAAGCCAAGCATGTGATGTTTTGCTCCAAGAAAATTCCCCATTCCCAATTGTTCTGCTCAAAGCACGTGAGCAAAGCAGTAAGTCGCTTACTAAAACAGAGGGTTGTCTTTATCTTTTGAGCAAGGGGAATCACGGGTCAGTTTGCAGTTGTGAACAGAACTGGTCACATTTTGGAGGAAACACCCTAGTAAAATTGTTTACTCACTGGTTTCCAAATTCAGATGCCACAAAGAGAAACCCTGTCTTCAGCACGCACATGGCAGCAGCTACAGGAACGGTGTCAAAGTACTTCAGTCGAATCTCTGTCACCTGAAAGTGTCCAAAAGAGAAGTGGCTATAACTAGCAATGTGAATGCTAGATCAGTGCATACATGATTTAGTAAGAAGAGCTTCCTAGAAATAACCTCCAAATGAAGTTTCATGCACAATCTCACCATTACTTTGTGTTATGAAATCCAACAGACTACTTTGAAAACACAAGTCAGTATTTCTTTAAGACTTTCTTTTTTTTTCTAAATACTGAGTCAATTTGAAGAAACAGTTATGAGAATAGCAAGCTCTCTTCAAGGGAGAAGAAATCTTCTTCACTTCATCACTACCACCTAATTCCCAGACATGAAAAAAGGAACTGTCCTGAGAAAATTTCTACATTTGATACAGTCAAAACAGCTCTCTGAAACATCCAAGATCAATACGAAGCCATTTAAATATGATCCAATTTTAATATTCGCGCCAAATGTGCCGTGTTTAAATGAAGAACTAGCAGTCATTATTAATCAAAAAACTGCTTGTTTTCTGCAGCAGAGCCTTTTTTTATTATCATTATTGTAAAATACTAGGCCAAGCAGCAAGTCACTTCAATACAAGCTTGTTATTTCAAAACATGGACTAACCCTACCAAAGCAGGTACATCAAATAAAAAAAAAAAAAAAACACTATCAAGAAGAGATGGAGAGCAGCTGCTGTGAACACCCCAATTCTAAAATACTTAATTTGGTTCCTCCTCAACTGATGCTTACCATGTCTTCATCAGTCTCAAGTGTAATTTTGAAGATATCTCCCTGCTCTGTCTGAGCCAGGAAGAAAAACATGGATTTGGTCTTGTGTGTAGCAGAGCAGACAAAAATCATCCCTCTCTCTGGATCATCCAAGTCATTCTGTTACGGAAAAAAAAAATGGAGGTCACTGGTGGAAAAGACCTACCCAGCAAGTACAGACAGATTCTCACGTACTGAAGCATTTCCATTTCACAGGTGTCTCAGAGTATGTGAAGAGGCTTTCAGCTGGAGTCACATCCCCTTTGCCACACTGGGAATACCCTGGGTACATCTCTCCCCCAGGGAGAAATACGTCTAAGACACCAGGCCTGTGCATTCCTTCTCTGACTGCTTTCACCAGCTTCCCCCGCCAGCTCTCGCACACCAAAACCAACTGCAGGAGGTGAGGGCTGTGAGCCAGAGAAAGCTGTTTCTTAGCACCTGCCCTTTGGTGGTGCTTTAAGCCAGAGGACACAGCGAGAGCGAAGGAGGAGGAGGCAGCATTAGACGCAACAGGGCAGCGATCAGACCCACCTGCATGCACGTTGGCAACCACGACCCGCTGCCTCTCGCAAGCCTAACACACCCAGGCTGCGCCTGATCAGAGCCATTGGACTATCTCCAGCAGAGATCTCAGAGAAGAGACATGAATCAGACTCATCATTTCAGGCTACACGTACCCTAGCCTTCCCTCACAGGAAGCAAATGCAGCCTGTAATTAGCCTCTACTCTGTGCAAACAGGCTGTTCTCTCACTTGAAAGCGTCACTGATGCCTTCAGTGCCCAAAGCTAGTGCACCAAGTATTTGTTGGCAAAAGTAACTTCCAAATGAGGTCAGAATTCCAAAATACTCACCCGTCTCCTGGGAATTGGACATCTGATATCAGGCTGGTCACCAAAGTTTTTATAGGTAATGTAGTTTTCAGAACAGATCAGCACACCGCTGGGACCATCAGAGCCACCAGGAACTGAAACACAACAAAGAAGCATTACTGCAAGAACAGCCCTTACACACACGTGATTACTGCTGGCACATTTATTTTCATTTCTTTAGAATAATTTTCATTATTCTGCATTCCCCCACATATATGTATCTGCCCTTATTGAAGAAGGCAAACGCTCTGAGTACAACATTCTGTACCAGCATAAGGCAGCAGCAAAATAATTAGCATCAGGAACTAACGGGCTAGGAAGGAGAAAAAACTAAATGCAAGTTGTTTATTTGGTATCTTATTCTTGTATAGAGAAACATGACATGCCTGAAACACGTTATTAACAACCTGTCAGCTGAATATAACCCTTCGGTTCCTGATGTGTTTGCTTGATGTCAGAAAAACAAACAAACAAACAAACAAACAAACCCACATCATTCAATCTTTCATTTCTAGAGTATGTTTTTCAAAATACTTCTGTTCATATTCAAGCATAACAGGGGGATAACAGCAAAACTGTGGTACTGATCAGATCTAGTGCCACAGTTATCTGTGTCCGAAAGCAGCCTAGAGAAGAGGCGAGAAGGGGCAGGCTCACAGGGATGCCCTTGCTCCTGGCTTCCATTCTACTCAGAAACAAAAATGCAGTTTACAAGTTTGGCAAAACAAAGACACTAGCTTTGTATCCAACTCTTGTGATTTTAGTCCATGAATCTGCCTTTCAAATGCATATAAAGTTCTGGCATCTTAGAGTTCCACAGTGTTACATGTGCATTACAAAAATACATTCTTTTCAATTTATCACCAGTTAATTAAGATACCACTTAACATCTCCAGCTTCTGATAGATGAGAGACTCCAGGATACACCTCAAAGAGCAGAGACGTAGGGCACTCTCCAAGGTGCAAGCTTTAGCTGATTCCAATATGAATTAATTCATACTAATAGCTCAGGCTACTATGGAGACAACTCTTAAGAGGTACAGCCTATCGATACTGCTTCCCTGGGGAACCAGAACTCTGTCTGTAGATGTACAAAAAAATAACTTAGTGCTGGGGCGGGCAGTACCTGTTATAAGGAAGTTGCCATGCTCTTCCAAGGGCTCGCTGTATTTCCTAACCACATGGTTCAAACCCAAGTCCAGTTCATAAAACGTCAAGGTCTGCTGCGTGTTGGCTGCTGCTTCTCCCGTTGGATCGTTGTCCGCTTCCTAAAAACCACAGCACACGGATATTTCATACCAGCCAATGATGGCATCCATTTATGTGGAGAAAATTTCCTCTGACTTAAAAAATGCCAGGAATGCATAACCAAAAAGTAACATTTGAAAAAATATTCAGAGGATCGAGCTTACGGCTACACAAGGCAAAGGAAACAAAACTCCCTGCTGAAAATTCAGACAGTATTTTAAAAAAGAGAAGGTTCTCGTGAACCACTCAAAGCAGGAAAATAGTGTGTCTTTCTTCAAAATCACTAGAGAGGCAAAACCAACGCAACAGGAAATGGTTCTTAATAATGCTAGCATGAAACTGAAGGGAAGATTTGTTGAAATAAGCACAGAAAAGGGTTCAAAGGAAGAAAATAAATTTACAGTCGAACAGCAGGAAATGAAGAATCACCCAGACAAGGAGAAAATCTCCTACTCTAACTGAAGCGAAGGCCAAAAGCTGGCCTGTTGAATAAATGAGGATTACATTATGGTAAACCTTCCCTGCCTCCACAGGAAAATCAGGCAAAAGAAGAGGAAAGACCAGAAGAAAAAAAAAAAAAAAAAAAACACTTCTCACCTCATAATCCATTTCCAGACATGCAAACATTGGGTTTTCAAATCCTACATCAACTCCCACCACATGGTAGACCAAAGTATTGGCCTTGTGGGCTTCCAGAGGGGAGGAAATGGTGAGGCGAGCGGCAGCGTCTCTGTTCAGGATGTACACCAGCTTCTGCTTCTCAATGGCACCTGCAAGGAGAGGGCAGCAGCACCTGAGATGCATGACCCTGAGGACAAAAGCGAAGGACGCCAACCCAGCACTGGCTATCAATCTGAACAACGTAAATGTGTTACCTTCTCATCAAAACGTGAGTAGATGCCAAAAAAAGGGGAGTTATATCCAACATGGACCGTTAAACTACTTATGAGTGCTGGTCCTTGCTCTCAGCGTTAGGGGAAGTAACGTCACACACAGCCAGCCCTGGTACATACAGGAAGCCACGTGCCACAGTTCTTGCTCATGTTGTAGCTCATGGTCAGTTGGCAATTTTGGATAGTGAACCAAGTCACCAAGATGCTAAATCTTACAAAAATACATAACCCAGCTGTTCTACCTGTGAAGCCTGATCAGAAATGCTTTTAACTCTCTCCACAATGCACCTCAGAGAAGAGACATGAATTCACACCATCATTTCAGGCCATGGAAGTTGACTGACTCTGCTACAGCACAAATACCCTCAGTCGTGCGTGTTCTTTCAGACCTCACGCTTCGAGGGGCTGCTCACCACCAGGCAGGCAGGTTTTTTTCCAGATTGGTTTGCCTTAAGCACTAAAATTGGTTTGTGCAAATCCAGCAGTGTCAAAGAACTGTTCTGTGATCTCCTTGACATGTCTTGCAAGCCAGAAAAAGCCTCAGAGAAGAAACTCGTAATTATACCTGACAGAAGCCACCTCCAAGACAAATATCCCCAAGACTGCAAAAACACAAAACCCAAAAACCACCGCAACAAGTCACCAAGCTCATAAACGGACTTACTGATCATCACAGCACGGCCCTTGGGATCTACGGCCAAGTACTGGCCGGGAACAATCCGGCGACAGCCACTCTTGCCAAAGGTTTCCTGGTGAATCTTCTCGAAGACGTTCTTGGAGGGCTGGTACTCCAGGATAACGATGCGCCCCGAGTCGCTGCCCACCACGATGTAGTCCTTGGTGCCCCCCGTGAGCCGGAAGGCCATGAGGGACCGAATGACTCCGAACACTTCCACCGTGAGCAAGGTGTGCACCTTGCCTGTGTTGGGGTCAGGGCGAAGCAACTCCAGGATCTTGCCCCGGGAAACAACAATTTCTTGTTGCTTGGTTCCTAAAGAACCCAAAATGCACACACACACAAAAAAAGGTTTAGCGGGGCACAGAGAGAAAAGTCACTTTAAAAACTATTATAAGTGGAAAGCTTGTTTCTATAAGCCGAGTTTTTATTACTAATGAAGAATTTGGACAACTTAACGCAATGTCACACACCGGCATGAGGGCAGGGATTTTAACAGATCAGGAAACTGAACTAAACACGAAGTTAAATCCACGCGCGATCCAGCCAACTCCCCCTCGATCTTCCACAAATCCCACGCATCCAAGTCATGCACCCAACAGTGGAAGACACCAAAAATAAAACAAATCAGAAGCTGCGCCGAGGCCGGGGGTTTCAGTGAGCAAGTGCCGCGGGGGCGCGGGCCGGGGCAGCGCCGCTACCTGAGAAGTTGCCATGGATGGCGAAGCTGATGCCCGTGGCGCGCTGCAGCGTCAGGTTGTAGAGGAACATGGCGGCGCGGGGGGCCCGCTACGGGCCGGGAGCGCGGCCTGGGGCGGCGCGGGCGGGCCGGGAGGC